ATATATATAACAAATTTGTGTCGTTCGTCGTAACTCTTTGGTAGTGCAGCCTAGTGCGAATTCAATCCCACCTGAGTACATCTGCCTGGCAAAGCGAAATCGAGGAGTTAAGCGCATATGTATGTATGTATGTATGTATGTATGTATGTATGTATGTATGTATGTATGTATGTATGTATGTATGTATGTATGTATGTATGTATGTATGTATGTATGTATGTATGTATAGTGTTTGGGTAAACTGGCAGCTTATGCGTTTTGAAAACGCTGAAAACAGTGTTTTCACATCGCACCTGCCTTGGTGGTCGCACCTGCCTAGGTGGGGTGTCAGTTTTTTAGCAGCGGTTTAGCTTTTCCAAAAAAATAAAAAATTCTAATAGTCAGCGCAACTAACTTATCAACATATTATTTTTAATCAGTTTATCAACAGATTATTCAATAAGTTGCAGCTGCCCCAAACAGTAAAAGTGATGCGAATTTTCTTACACAGTTTTTTTGCGTCCATATGTTACAAATGTAAATACCAAACATTTAAGTATCAGTCTTGAAAATGCAAGACTTACGTGGTATGTGCATGTATGCAAAATTCCCAAAAAAATTATATTAAATAATGCAATTTTAAATTAAGAAATTAAATAATTCTATTATAAATTAAATAAGACGATCAAAATATAAAATTTAATTGAAGAGTTATATTATTTAAAATATTAAATAAAATTTTCATAATAAGCTCAAATCAAACCACAGTCAAATTCCAATAATTTATTGGTAGAGTTCTTACAAATCATACAATTTATATTTATCTGTTGAGAAATTATGGCGAAGAAAAATAGGAATCAACACAAATCCAGAAGAACGCGTAGAGATTTAACGAGGTTAAGCAAAGATGCTTACGTCCTCAAGAGCAAAGCAGTGGATTCCTTCCAATTCTAGAAAAGAGAATATGTTATACCCTTTAGGGTTACAAAAAAGCATATATATAGCCCTGGAGTAAACTCTGAAGTACAATATGTAATTACCAAATTACCCATGTACCGTACCTCGGGGCGTTGACCCCACACCCCCAACCCATGTAATGAAACTCACCTGATTGGACAGATTCTTCCGCTCTGCTCCGCTTCATTCCACCATTTGTCCCTTATATGATATATGAGTCATACCATAACAAATCTCCACCTTAGCGAATATTCAGCCCCTTAGAAGAAATAAATTATTGAGTTTCTTACAGACTGAAGTGGGTTAGGCCACTATGCTTCTCTAGCAATTGCAAATATTCAACAAGTTCATGCAATGCAAGAACTTGTTGATAGTGATTGGCTTGGTCAACATATCAGCTGCATTGTCATCAATATGATCCTTCTGCAACAGTATCTCACAAGAAGCAATCAATCCTCTGATCTTGTGATACATGACATCAATATACTTGGTTCTCGCATGGTACACCTGGTTTTTAGCCAGATAAATAACACTCTAACTGTCACAATGCAACTAAATTCCACCTTGTTCACGCCCAGTTTCTTTACTATACCAGTAAGCTATAAGGTTTCTTGTATAGCTTCAGCTACTGTCATGTACTCAACTTCAGTTGTAGATAATGTCACAATAAACTAAATTGTTGATTTCCAGTTGATTTCCAACATATTGATTTCCAACATATAGACCCTCCACCAAGAGTAAACACATACCAGTTGTAAATCTTCTGCCATCCAAATCACCCGCATAATCTGAATCAATGTACCCCACAACTGAAGGATCATCACTGCTGATGAGAAGTGCATAAGAGACCAAGTCTTCCAAGTCTTCTCTGCTAGGAGGCCTTATATTGGTGTGTTTTTATCTGTCTCTGGCTAGATTATAATTTTGCAGATCATCTGGAATGGAATCACCAGGTGTTGGATTTGAACATTCAACTCTCTCAGTTGTTTATGGATGATGTTCTAAATCCATCTGCACTGCATCTGAACTGGAACTATTCTCTGACACCTTGTGTTGATTTTGTTGCAACATGGACTGTTCATCAAAAACGACATCTCTACTGATCACCATATTCTTTACAATTGAATCCCAAAACTTGTGTTCATTCACACATTTTTTATATCCCAGAAAGATGCACTTTTGGATTTTGCATCAAGTATTGATTTTTCATCTCTAAGTACATGCACATAAGTAGGACAACAAAAAATTCGTAAATGATCAAAATTAACCGGATTACCTGTCCATACCTCTTCCACAACCTTGTCACTTAACGATACCCGAGATGATATATTGATGAGATAACATGCTATATTCACAGCATATGCCAAGAAACTCTTAGGAAGCTCTGCATTCAGTCTTAAACATTTTGTCCTTTCAGTTAAGGATCTGTTCATCCTTTCTGCCATACCATTCTGTTGTGGTGTCTGGCGCACTTAAAAATGTCTTTCAATCTCATGCTCCTCACAGAACTTCTGAAACTACGAATCTGTGCACTCTGTGTCATTATCAGATCTCAAATACTTGATCTTTCTGCTAGTTTGGTTCTCAACGTTAACTTTCCACAACTTGAATTTAGATAAGTCTTCAAATTTCTTCTTCAAGAAATACACCCAAACTTTCCTGGAGAAATCATCAATAAATGTAACAAAATACTGAGATCCTCCCAATGATGATTCCCTGGTAGGGTCCCATACATCAGAATGCACATAATCAAGAATCCTTTCAGTTTTGTGCTTTCCAGTTATAAAACTAACTCTAGTATGTTTTCCAAGAACACAAATAAAGATCGAGTTTACAGCTTTTAACACCACGCAACAAGTTTTTTCTATGTAATTATGTCATCCCACGTTCACTAAGATAACTCAGACGCATATGTCATAGCTTTGTACTATCATCATCTGACTTCACAGAATGAACTTCACCTACAACTATACTCCTCAATTATTTGTAGATATTACTTGCAGTTAACTTTTTTTTCATCACAGTCAGTGCACCCTTAACAATTCTTATGGTTTCTCTATCCTAGTCTGCCTTATGAATAAAATCATTTTTATGTAAAGTATCCATGAAAATCAAATTCTTCTTCGGATATAGAATATGTCTGATATCACAAAATATTCTAACACTGTCATGATACATCTGAATTCTAACTTCACCAATACCAACAATATTGCAATATTTATCATCACCTAAATAGACTGAGTCAGAATTATTTAACCAATATGAAGTAAATCTCTACATGTTAGGTGTTATGTGATAAGAGCACCCTGAATTAAAAATCCAGGCATACCTAAACTGAGTTGATGAAACTGAAAGCATATCGCCATCGTTGCAATCTGAATTGTAACTCTGCATCACATTTACAGACTTAGATGATGCATCACTTTTCTCCTAGTCTGTTTCTTGAGCTTTGGACAATTTATATTCATATGACTCAGCTCCTTACACTTGTAGCAATGAATTGTCTTTTTGCATTTGGAATTTGATTTGGAATTTCACTTTCCAAAACCTTTCTTCTCTATCTTCCTTCCACGATCCTGATTATCATTCACATATCAACTGTCGTCATGAGAGTTTTCCCCTGCATTCTGCTTCCGCTGGTTATGAGCCAACAATGTTGCAGTTATCTCATTAATTTTGATAGTTTTTTTCTCATATATAAGAGTAGTCATCAGGTGTTCATAGGAAGAATGCAATGAATACAACAAAATCATTAATGGGTCTTCATCCTCAATACTCAAATCAAGTCGTGAAAAATCTGTGACTATTTGATTGAAGTCATTCACGTGTTGTGTCAGATCAAAGTCTTTGCATCTTTAACACATAGAATTTTTGCTTCAGATACAATTTACTCGTCAGAGATTTAGACATAAACTGAGTTTCTAATTTCTTCCATACCTCCCCTGGAGATTTTAGATTCATCAGGTGATACATAACATCATCAGTCAGATAAAAACGTATAGTTGTTGTCGCTCGTTGTTGCAATTCTTCACAATCTTCATATGATTTCGTTATCCGCAAAGTCTTCAAGATCCCTTGTTGCGCCAACAAGTCTTTGACCCTACATCGGACTTCACCATTACAAAATTATAATATGAAATTAGTGAATTTCTATGCAAATTACTCTACCTCACGGAAGCCGGAATTCCTTCGTTGAAATCCTTTCTTGATTTGCGATTCACAGAAGAATCCCTCGCGAAATCTTCCTGAATCCTTTGCCGAACTGGGTCACAGAAATTGCCGCGCGATATTCAGCTTATCGCGGCGGAAGAAGAAGCACGCGTCGAACTCCACTGCAGGAATCGCCAAACCAAACCTGCGTGTCTGCTCGCTTCGCGCCTGCTCGCGTCACGCTTCACCCAGCCGAACTCACTCCTCTGCGTCGCGGTCCGAACTGTCGCGAACCATTGCCGAAGCGTTTCGTCGAATTCGCCGAGAGCGCCCTCGTCGTTGAAAAGGACCCTTCGCGAACTCCTGTAATTTGTCGAACTCTGCTCGCAAACCGTCGCGATCCAAGCCGCTCGAAGCAATGTCAAATTCGCCGAGACCCGCCGTCGAACTTCTCGCAACCCGCCACCGAACCAAGTCGCAGGCGGAACAACTCGCGAAAACCGAAGCCTTTCGTCTTGAACTCCTTAAGCCATTGCCGCTGCCGAATCTTCTTCGTGCGCCAAAATTTTTTCTTCCTCGTGCAGAAATTAGAGTGAAGAACAGAGATTTAATTGGATCGGCCAAAATGTCGTCCTCGGGAAAGAACAGACTTTGTGAAGGCCCTCGGGGACAGAACAGCGGATTACTTTTAATTCCAGAAAAGATCAGAAAATAGAGGGTTACAAACAAAAAATATATATATATCCCTAGAATACACTCTAGAGGACTATGTAATTATAAATTTATCATTGTACCGTATCGTCAGGTGTTGCCCTCGCACTCCTAACCCACGTAATGAAACTCTCCCGATTAGACATATTCTTCCACTCTGTTTCATTCCATCATGTCCCTTGCATGATATATGAGTCATACCATAACAATATTTATAAATATAACACATAAAACTTTAATATTTAGTTATAAGAGAACCCAAATATTTAACATCACATCAAAATACAATTAATATTAACTTTTTAAAATGAAATACTCCTTTTCATAACTACCAAACTTTAAATATTAGATATATATAAAATATATAAGAATAGTGTCGCCTGTACGTAAATATCCCCAATATCTAACATCTTAATACAGTGTTATAGACATTAAAAAATGGAAAATTATACATGCAACACTCAAACCATTGCTATTTAGAAAACTAACACATTTGACAGTAAAAGGAAGAACAAAATATGAGAGCAATTAACAAATTACAAAGATAAAACAAAAGTGATGCTATTTAACAAAAGTGATACTAACAATCTAAGTTTCTTCATCAAAATACTCAAATTAGAACAAGAAACTCATCAAATAACAGAGAGAGCACAAAGCTAAAATCAGCAGTTCTCTGTACATAATTTATTTAAATGCCGTCTTCCTTATCTTCAAAACTCAAATAAAGAGTCTGCAACTTGAAGCCTGCACTTTGTATTATCTCAACCAAATTTGAAGCAACGCCTGTAGCTTGCACTGTTGTTTGTTGTGCCAACTACACAAATAAGGGTAACAATTCAGGAAAAAAAAATAAGTTTTTGGTCATATCTACTAACGCAGTGTAATAGTTTCATTGGAACAATGATTAAATTGTAGCAAAAGAAGTGCACAAGATAAATTTGGATCATTATAGTAGTGTACCATAAAAAGCCTCACCAAAAAATATACCATCATTAATTATATAAAATTCCTTTAAAAAACAAAAACTACGCCTAGCTATCACCCCTCGAGAACCCTATTTACTTCCATCACTACGATAACGCTAGCCGCACCAGCAATCCATTACCAACTTAACCAACCTTCGCTACAGTTACGTTCACAATATTTGAAAATTTTCTCATTTGGTGAAATTTGTTATTCAAAATACCAATTTTTAGAATTCAGCGCCCGCCTAACATCATCTTAAATCGTGTCATGCATAATTTACTATTCTTTTGTCTACTAACATCTATAAATAGAAAAGTTATGCCTTCATGAAATTTATTCATTATTCCAACTCTTTGTTACTTATTCAGCCAAAATTGTTCAATTTAAACATGTGTTCTCTTCAGATATCTTTCTTTGCAATTGCCTCTTTATACAAATTTCTAAGAAGAATGAAATCAGTGAAGATGAGAAAAATGTTACTTGACCAACATGTGTAAATCCTCGAACGACATCTTCACCAAATGATCGCGAAGATGATTGGAATAACTATCATGTCCAAAATCAAAGGCCGCCGAGTGCAGCTTATTTGGGTATTAGAGGATATATTCTCGTACCTACTGGAACTTGCCCATTTTTACCCCAACTGAACTTAAATTTTATGAAGGGATGAATATAAATCAAATTTCTCTTTACCTTTTTCGAACTTACTTAGTTCTTGTGGCCGCTTTGTGCTTTGTTATAGGAAGTTCCCTCAATGAAAGGAATCATCAAAACCACAATATTAGGTATGAACCCAGGACTTCACGATGTATACTCCGTTCTTATAGCTTCTACATCATCACTCATATAATTATTTTGCTTCTTATTCAATAATACTGTTTCAAAAGTATCATCAAACACATTATCCAAGAATCTACCTAATCTGACATCTCACTGACACAACTCTAACAACCGAGTAATCTAGCCTTGGATCATGAATAATGAAATGCAAATAAGAAGAAAAACCTCTGAGGGGACTCGGCAAATACATAAAACATAAATAATTACAATGAGGGGTCATTCAATCAATTAGCTACTTGCCTGTAAACAGTTGACCTAGGAAAAGAGTAGCTTTAACAGATGCATTCGATATATATTGAAAGCAGCCTAGTTCATTTTCTTTTAGGTTAATATAAAACTTCAATTTGAAATAAGGAATCTTGTTTGCGCTCGTACTTACAGATCATCTCCTGACCAACTTCACAAAGAAAAATTTCTTCTTCCAATCTCCCGATTTATTTTCTAATCCCCAATTTTTTTACCTATTTTGAAAAGATGGAACAAATTTATTTTTGAAAGCTTTTACGACAAACAAAAAGCGAACAAGGTTTAAGGGTCAGTTTACCAATTATTCCAACAAATGCATAATGAAAGTAACCATTCTCGCTGAATTTGCTAGCGGTCAGCACCATTTGCGTAAGCACAAGATTATAATAGCAAATAACAACTTCACACTAGTGAAAATGGAAGCCACAACCAAAGGACAAATTGAAGCTTGAAGAAACACAACTTGTCCTCCAAAACAGTATTTAGGAAACTCGTTTGCATTTGAAACTAGGAGAGAGAAGTTTTGGACAATGTCAATATCTCTCACCAACAAGTTGATGTTATATTCAAATATTAGGGATGAACATCCACAATCTAACAGCAGGAAATTATCCGCGCAACTTCGGAGGATGAACATCCCTAATCTAACAATAGGAAATTATCTACGCAACTTAAGAGTACCTTCAATAGATATCTAAAATTATACGAGTATCTCAAGAAAACTAAACAGAGAGAAGAACAAAGTTTCAAATGAATCACTTGTGAGCAATTTATAAATGAAAAGCAGTATATTTTGAGCATCGTGCAATCATTCGACATCAAATCACACGCATATAATTGATTATATAAGATTTGAAACAAAAAAATAAATTCATATCATTTATATAACAGAACAGATATTGAAAATGCATTAGAAATGTATTCATATTGTAAACAAATCCATCGAGCATGACAAGTACCAGCCGTCGGTGCATTGCCAAATTCTGCAAACAGAGAATAAGTTTCTCCATATAAAATTTGCACCACTGGATCAGAAATTGACTCCTTAAAAAGTAAGCATTACCAAATAAATTGTCTTCTGGTGAACACGAAACTTCCGAAAACTTAATGTACTTGAGTAGAATTTGCATGTCTCCATAGGATAATAATTTTGCTGTTTAAACTATTCAACTCTGTTCTAAAATCAACTACGACTTCAACAGAGAAAAATCCTAAATTATAAGCCCATGTTGTGAATTTTTGGCCAAATTCTAAAGGCAAATCTTCTCAGTTCTCTAAATAATTGAATCTCAATAATCTGCATGATTGTTTTTAAAGACTAGTGTGTTCTTTACAGCCTCAAAGTTGACAAAAAGAATTAGTATACTCTTTGAACATGAAGGGTTTGAAATCGGTAAATCTATGGTTTTCTCAGTCAGATTTCTTTTCTTGAGTAAATTTTTTTACAGGATAGGCTGATGAATCAACTAATCATCATTATTGGGACAATTAATTATAGTCAAAACATTATAAAAAATCATTTTTTTGGCTTTTATTCATATTGAATTCATCAGAGAGACGATAACACCAGCATCTGAAATTGGAAGAAATTTTTCAAAAAAATAATTTATAATATGCACTTCAGCTGCAACTTCTTTCTTCCTACCCTTGTACAACAACAACAACAACAACAACAACAACAAAGCCTTAAGGAAGAAGAAGGCGACTCCACACAATTTTCTTCCTACCCTTGTGAACTTTTTTTATTGTTTTTAAGGAAGAAGAAGGCGACTCCACACAATTTTCCATAGCTTTCCTATCCGTATTCTTTGAACTGGCATTTAGCATGTCCTTTTCTAAAAACTTCGTAAAACAATCTATTATTTAAAAGGAAAAAAAGCAATTGGAGAGAAAGCAAACAGATATTTATAGAATTGTTTACATAAATGACAAAAAACTGTCAAAAGCTCATTTGAATCATCATAAATTCACTCGAAAGTAATACAAAATTGCTCAGGCTCAAAAGCAACTCATCCATAACTTTGCCGAGAAAGTGACTTCATTGATTCAGCTACTCCTCTTGGCTGAGACTATGAGTTCCCCCAGCTAGTTTAGTAATATCAAAAATGTCAGTTGTAGACCTCAATTAATCTATATGACTCATGAATTTTACAAAGTGACCATCAAACCTTACTTTATACTTCTCTCTCGTGCAACTAGATATGCAGCTCTTCCTATAGCGCTCAGACCAAGTCTCTAAACTGATAAATAGGGCATCACAGGAAGAAACCAAGACTTACTTAAGCTTATTGTAATGCAATCTGATAGCTTAACACTCCTAACACTTTATTTTTTCTCTTAAACTTTTTTAATCGTCTTTTTTTGTTGAGTATGATAGTAAGATTCTAACTTACCTATAGATAATTTTGGATTCAAAAATCCACAGATAATTTTGGATTCAACAATGATGATGAAAAGAACTCAACAAGAAATAAGTCAAAAGAAGTTAGATCCAATGGAAATCCCAAAAGGTAAAAATATACATATAATAGCATCACATCTACCATTTTAAACGTAAGGCATTATCTACCATGAAGTAGCTAATTAAAATTTTCAAAAACAACCACATGGCACCAAAGAACACTGCCACAACACCACGTCCTGTACAAAAACAATTACAACTTAGACGACAGTATAGAAAAGAGTTAGATCAGCCAAGCTTCATCACATCTAGTTGCTATTAAGGGTCCGTTTGGGACCGTGGTTGGATAGCGTTGTGGCGGCATCCCGCGAAATTTTCCTGTTTTTTTCGGCGTCCTGCTCGCGGCGGGACGCGAATTTGGCCGAAAGCAGGAGGCAGGATCGACCTCGCGGACCGCGTTATCGATCTTGTTTTTCCCCTTGTGCCCCTCATATCGTGACGCCGCCCATTGCCCTAGCGCCTCGCAAAGTCGAAGGCGATGAATCCTCTGCCCTAGCGTCTCGTCTCGCTTCCCCGCTCATCTCCTGCTCTCGATCATCTCGCAAAGCTGAAGCAGACTCGCCTGCTACTGCTTCCACGGTCACTTGAAGCCTCAAGCCTCACCTTCTTCAAGAGTTAAGTCTGCTTCACTCACCTTCTTCTTCCTCCATAAATGCTTCTCTCCTCTCTCAGTTTCACTGAAAACCATCACCATGGACATTGAACCCTCACGATACAACTTTCTTGCTTACAAAAGCCCTCACGATACATCAGCAACCTGGTAGATTTAAGAATGATCGACTAGCCATCTTTCAAAGCTTAAAAATGCATTTTATGGTTTGAAGGAAGCTTCTAAAGCAAATGATACACTAATCAAAACTACTAATTGTGAAACATCTAGAGCTTTTGCATCATCGAGACAACACCTCCTTCCCATCCACCCTCGTCTGTACCGTAATTCTTCCCCTTCTCCTTCCTCCATAAATGCTTCTCTCGTCTCTCAGTTTCACTGAAAACCATCACCATGGACACCGAACCCTCACGATACAACTTTCTTGCTTACAAAAGCCCTCACGATACATCAGCAACCTGGTAGATTTAAGAATGATCGACTAGCCATCTTTCAAAGCTTAAAAATGCATTTTATGGTTTGAAGGAAGCTTCTAAAGCAAATGATACACTAATCAAAACTACTAATTGTGAAACATCTAGAGCTTTTGCATCATCGAGACAACACCTCCTTCCCATCCACCCTCGTCTGTACCGTAATTCTTCCCCTTCTCCTTCCTCCATAAATGCTTCTCTCGTCTCTCAGTTTCACTGAAAACCATCACCATGGACACCGAACCCTCACGATACAACTTTCTTGCTTAAAAAAGCCCTCACGATACATCATCAACCTGGTAGATTTAAGAATGAATGACTAGCCATATTTCAAAGCTTAAAAATGCATTTTATGGATTGAAGGAAGCTTCTAAAGCGATACACTTATCAAAACTACTAATTTTGAAACATCTAGAGCTTTTGCATCATCGAGACCGCACCCCCTTCCCATCCACACTCGTCTGTGCCTTAATTCTTCCTCTCTAATGCCAATCCATAGATTTGTTGGATCCTTCTTGCATGCTCACAAATCAATATGACAGTTATAATTATTTGTAGTTAATTATATCTCTTATTTCACATTACTTTTTATTAGAAGCTCTCCTAGGATTAATAAATTCTACAAAAATGTTAGAATGAAACGCAATCAATTGTTCTCCAGTTCTTATCATGATATGCTCTTGGACTTTTTTTTCCTTAGGCTATACTGTAATTTTCTTGACCTTCCTTCTCCATTTTTGCAGCCTCGATCACCACAACGCCATAAATATTTTCTTTTGTTCTGTTTTAAACAGTTTTACTAAACAATAGCAGAATGATCATTCTTCCAGAAACAACTGTCCCCCAGTTGTTCGCTGCAACAAACAGATAATCAGTTTCTTCGTGGCAGTTTTCCCGCAGCAGATTTCTGGGGCAGCGCAGCTGCAACTGCCCCAAACAGACCCTAAGTAGGGGTGTAAGAGAGTCAATACGACTCGTGAGCTGGCTCATGCTTGGCTCAACAAGCGGCTCGCTAACTAAGCTCGACAAGCTAACAATCCAAGCTCAAGCTAGTCCTGAGTGTACTAGTGAGCTTGTGAGGCGGCTCGTTTAAAAAATATCACTCTAAAATATACTCAAAATATCTTAAATTTGAAAAAAAAAATTTCTTTAAAATATTAAAATTATTTTAAAAATATATTTTGTATTTTATATTAAGTGAATTTTTTATTATTTCTCTCATAATTGCTCATTTTATTTATCATTCTATTATAACACTAAATAACCTTTCTAAAACTTAATATCAAACAAAATAACAATAGAGTTCTTGAACCTGAATAAGAAAAACTGTACAAAATTCTAAAACTTAATATCAAACAAAATAACAATAGAGTGAGGAGGATTGACATAAACTGAAGCGTCATTGCCAAATGGGGAAAAAAAATCAACCAAAATTTACCTCAACGCTTGCAATGCCCTCTAGGTTTTGCACCTTCAAATCACTAACACCATCCTTCACCTGAAACAACAGTAAGAATTTACTTCATCTTACACTCAACTTGTAAAGGGATTCTCCTCGGTATGTAAATCTTCCAGATTAAAAAACCTCTAAAGCCTTGGAGAGTTTCGATATTGCCGAGTCGTCCATAGTTCCCTCAGCCTTCAATGAAACATCAGACAAAATAAATAATCATTAAACCTGCAAAAGTTACGATCACAGAAAAGAAAATCACATAAATAAAATAATTTGTGTGAAGCTATAGGCTGTGCCTTGAAGAACATTGTCAGCAAATCCGAGGGAGAAACTGGAACATTAGTTATTTGTTCCGCGGACGGTGTCTGCTCCACCGTCGTCAACGTCTCAGCTTGGGAAGCTAGGGTTTCCTCCTCCGAGACTGCCCCAACGGTTCTTCTCAAAACAGTCTTGTTTGACAGAGGCCGAGAAGGGTAGGCTACTGAGGCTCTTCTGAAGCAGGAGAAGGAAGTGTAGTGGGCAGCGTAGGGGCATCTATGAGGTCGTAGCGATAGAGAAGAAGATGACAAACAGATAATCGCCATTACAATAGCTTTAGCCTTCGGTGGCGTAGAGGACGGCGAGGGGGAATTTGCTGGAACGGATATAAAAATAACTTTTCTTTAGTTTTTTTTTTCTTTTTTTTGTTTTGGAACATTTACATACATGCCACCAAAATTTTATGTATTTACATATTGAGCACCTGGATTTTATTTTTTTCTATTTATTAAATCATTTATATTTGATATGGCACCAATAAATTTTCATCATCATGCACGAATTTTAAAGCATGACACAGATCCCAAAATGATATTTAGAGCAAGAAACGTTCGAATCTTGATAAAAAGTCATCTTGAGCTATGATTTCAGCAAACTTATAGTCCAATTGATTGGTTCGCTGAGACGGACCTGATGATATAGAAACTAGTCCAATCCGAGTCAAACCAAGCTCAGATCATGTCATTAAACCACATTTGAAAGATTTCTGGATACATTTGGAAAGTCAAATGGTTGTCAAATATGACAAATTTATACTCAAATCGAGCGGTTCGACAAGACGAATCCAACGAGCCTAAGATCACTATATTCTGACATCATTAAAGCACTCAAATGTTCATTAAACGTCGTATAATTGAGGGAAGCTATACGAACCGTCCGATCAAAATAGTTTATATTCCTGCATTAATTACACTCAGAACACTATAAATAGAGTCTCATCCCTCTTATAAAAGGGGAAAGAAGTCTAGAGAGAGCCTGAGGTCTTGAGGAGAAGCTGCAGCTCAGCATCACCACCAATCGTCATCGACCACCATCAACCTCCGTCGTAGACCACCGCCGATCTCCGTCATCGACCGCCGATGACCACCGCCGACCGTCGTCAACCTCCACCTACCATCATCGATCACCACTAACCAGACGCCGTCAATCGACGTTGTACCTTAAAAAATATAGTTACCCTTTCTCGTCTGTGGGACAAGAGATTTCTGTAATCATCAATCAATAGTGTATTTGCGCAACTGGGTCAGACCCCGTGGTTTTTCCCTTACGGGTTTTCTACGTAAAAACTTCTGGAGTCATCACCGCTTTTTTCTATTTCATCTGTGTGTGTGCTGAACTTTCGTACAACGTCAAGACGATAGTTTGTTACTCTACCGCCGCGAATTTTTTAGCACGCATCAGTTTGGAATCGTATGTGAGAAGCTTTCAATCCAACCACTGAAGCACTTGCTCAATTTTCTACATGGCCACCAGGCAAAATATTCGGGAGAACGGAGCAGCTCGCTCTAACACCCATCAATCCAGGGAACAGTAACGAAATCAAGGACGATATGTTTCTTCACCTTACCCCCGTGGAAGACATTATCCAACTAACGAGGGGGTTTCGGGTCCTTCTATGAAAGAACGAATGCGTAGAATGGAGGAGTCTCAAGTGGAGATCATACAATTCCTACGAGGGACCCAACAATCACTGTCCACACCGATGAAAGAAACTCGTTTGTCATTAAATCCGCGACCTACGAAAAACATACCGCCCAGAGGGAGTTGTACCGGCCCCCTGCTCAAGAAGGAACAGTTCCCTTGCCAGGACGCGATGTTGAACTTCTAGACACCGCAAGTTTCACTCATCCATCTCATGCAGCTCCCATGACACCACCATATCTTGCTACCGTTCCAGATGATGTCATACATAACGAACTACATCGCCTCGTCTGAGAAGAGTCCCCCCTAGAGAAAAAAGATCACTTCCATACTCCCCATAACATCCTTGAATCATCTCCTTTAGCAAATGCGGTCCTCCAACACCCTATTCCAATAGGCTTCAAGTTGTCGAACATTAACACATATGAAGGGATAACCCCTATGAACATATTGATCATTATTGAACTATCATGCACATTCAACGTGCCTCTGACGCGCTTCTATGTTAGGTGTTCCCAGCTACTCTTAAGGGACAAGCTCAAACAAGTTTCTACTCCTGTCGGGGGGCACTGTAAACACCTTCAACGAGCTTGCCAAACTATTTGTGGAGCAGTTCATAATAAATCGACAAATCATCAAGGATTCATCCCATCTCTCAGTAATTCGTCAAAGTGAAGGAGAGTCACTTAAAGACTACTTGTGCAGGTTTTATGCTGAAGCCCGTCAAATTTCAAGAGTAGATCCAGAGTTACTCGACTCTTCTATTCATCACTGATGCAGGAGACAGTTCATTCTTATGTCAATATTGTCCACCGTGTTGAGGCCCAAATCACTGCAGACGAGCTATCGGTGCATATAAGGAACTAGTTGTGAAATTTGGGGGAAAGTGCAAAGGTAACTCTAGAGACTAATCAATCTTCGCAACGGAGAAAGTTTGAACAACCGAAGAATCGTGACATCCTTCTTCAACCTGCGGGTCAACGAACTGAATATCTACCCAAGAAAGAGTATACACCACTCAACACGTCATCTACAAACATCATGATGACCACCAAGGATGAGCAAGCTGTTAAGTGACCTCACCCTTTAAAACCTAACACGGTAAATCAAGAACAATATTGTCATTTTCATCGAAGTCGTGGCCACACCACCGAGGCATGTAAACTCTTTAGGGAAGAAATTGAAAGGTTGATTCAGTAGGGATATCTTGATTGATTTATTCAAAACAAACTAGCTGGTAACGATGATGCTCTTGCTGGGGGGCAACAATCACAAAGGCAACAACATGGGGGTCACCCACTCGTAGGTGAAATTCAGACAATTGCAGGAGGTCCATTGCTAACAGATCAAGTTCTTATCACTGCACCTGGTGAACCAGCACATAACAAATTGCGCCTTGAACTTATCACTTTTGATGATTCTAATCTAGAAGAAGTCCGAGTACCTCACCAAGATCCTTTTGTCATTAGCGCAGGAGTTGACGAACCCTGCTACAATGTAAAAAGGATCCTGATCGACAATGGGAGCACTGTTGATGTTTTGCTCTACTCCACTTTCCTTAGTTTGGGACTTAAAAGAGAAAGACTTCAACTTGCAACTGGGTCATTATATGGTTTTAATAATCGACCAGTACAAGTCGAAGGAAAAATAAATATCCCTGTTGTCATAGGAGATTTCCTCAACAGATAACTCGCTTAGTCCAGTTCATTGTCAAGTCAGAATCAACATACAATGCCATCTTCGGGAGACATCTGCAATCCATCTTTGGCATCGTAACATCTGTGTTACATTTGAAGCTCAAATTTCCAACCTCAGCAGGGATCGACGTTGTACAAGGAGATCAACAAATAGCACAATCATGCTACCTCCGACAGGCTCAACCACACTCATAGTGACACTTAGCATTGAAAACTTTGATCTCCGAGATGAAGATGTATCTCAAAGAGCTTCCCTCGTGGAAGATTTGGTTCATGTCCCGCTCTCTAACGAACACCCATCGAGAACAGTACAACTTGGTTCCTTACTCTCCGATGAACAAAGGTCAGAATATGTAGATCTCCTTCAAAGGAACCAAGACATTTTTGCATGGACCCCGGCTGGCATGCCTGGGGTTGACCCTGAAATAATTATGCATTCTTTAAAGATAGATCCAACTTTTAAACCTGTGGTTCAAAATAAGCGCAATTTTACCCCAGATCACTTACAAGTTATTGAACAGGAAGTAAACAAGTTTCTTGAAGCAAATTTCATACGGGAAGTAAATTATCCTGCATGGTTGGCCAATGTTGTCATGGTGAAAAAACCTAGTGGTTCATGGAGAATGTATATCGACTACACAAACCTCAATAAAATATGTTCGAAGGATAGCTTTCCCCTCCCACGCATAGATCAACTTGTTAATGCAACTTCCGGACATCAGATGCTCAGCTTTATGGATGCATACTCAAGGTACAATCAAATAAAGATGAACAAAATTGTTAAGGAAGCCACCTCTTTTCAAACATATAAGAGTTTATACTGTTATCAGGTTATGTCATTTGGATTAAAAAATATCGGTGCAACTTATCAATGCCTCATGAACAGTCTTCAAAGATCTTTTCGAGCATACAATGGAGGTTTACGTTGATGACATGTTAGTAAAAAGCCAGGAAGCATCCCAACACACTTCTCATATGGAGGAGTGTTTCCAACTCCTTCATTAATATAATTTATGACTTAACCCGACTAAATGTGTTTTCAGAGTAAAATCAGGGAAGTTTTTAGGATTCATGGTTACCCATCGTGGAATTGAAGCAAACTTAGAAAAAATCAAGGCACTGAGGGACATGATGCCTCCAAAAAAATATCAAAGAGGTACAACTGTTGAATGGTCGTATAGCCGTTTTATCCCGCTTCTTAGCTCGTTCTGGGGATAAGTATCTGTCGTTCTTTAAGATACTCAGAGGTACTCGGAACATCAGTTTTCAGTGGACAGATGATTGTCGGAGCACTTTTGGAGCAACTCAAGGCATATTTGACTTCATCGCCCCTCCTCTCAAAGTTCATCGAAGGAGAAATGTTATATTTTTATTTGGCTATTTCACCTCAAGCAATAAGTTCTGTTCTTGTCAGAATAGAAAACTCAATCGAGAAACTAGTATACTACGTTAGCAAAATTCTCTTTGATACAGAAAGTCGTTATCCAATGACTGATAAGACTGCGCTTGCCCTGGTATTCTCAGCAATGAGACTTCGCTCGTACTTCCAGGCTCACACTATTGACGTCCACACACAACTCCCTTTGAAGGCTATCTTATAAAAACCAGAAGCATCAGAAAGATTAGTTAAGCGGTCAATAAAATTGGGAGAATTTGATATCCATTATTTACCGTGTTCAAACATCAAATCACAGGTTTTGGCCGACTTTGTGGTAAAATGTACAGTGTCTACCTCTGATGAACCACCCTCTTCTCTTCCACTGTCACCTCAGTGGTCACTATTTGTGGATGGAGCTTCCAGAAACTCAGGAGCTGGTGCAGAAATACTACTCATCTCCCCAAGGCAAGACATTTTTGAGTATGAACTTCGTTTGAAATTCCCAACCACAAACAATGTTGTCGAATATGAAGCGCTTGTCGTTAGATTAAAACTTGTCATCGATTGTGAAGAGCGAAACATCATTATCTACACTTATTCTCAACTCAACGCATCCCAAGTAGAGG